TTTGTCTTCCCAAGTCACCGTTACGCGTGATGGAGCCCTGCTTTCCTGGAGATGGCTGAACACCTGCCTGCCGATGGGAAGGAGTGAATGAATTCCTTGTTTTGCTTTGCTTGTGTGCGCAGCTTTTGCTTTACCTGTTCAACTGTCTATCTCAGTCCATGAGTTTTCTCACTTTCACCCTTCTGATTCTCTCCCCCATCCTGCTGGTGGGGGAAGTGAGTGAGCGGCTGTGTGGGGCTTAGTTGCCAGCTGAGGTTAAACCATGACAATTTTTGACATCTTTGCACATGTCCCCTGTTGCCACCATGCTGTAAAGCCTCACTGCTCCTGCAAAGTGGAATTCTGCCCCACCATGTCACGGTTCAGACTAGCTTGTGCCATCGGTGTGACAGTCAGTTCATCCTCACTTTTCCCTCAAGTTCTACGCTGTGAAGCAGATGCTGCTGAAAGGTGGGGTTTGTCCTGCTGGAATTTGCTGTCTCTTCATCTTTCCCTTTCCCTGGGCCAACTTCACAGCCCATGGGTCAAGGCACTGGCTGCAGGAGGGAAGGTGGAGGTATGGCTCTTGCTGCAAGAACCAGGAGTGGATTGAATGCAGCATGTCCTCATTACGAACTGGGGTCAGCTTTCCTTCAGTCTCTTCTGACTCCAAAAAAGGTGGAGGCCACTTGCTGAACTTGGTCCTTGTTTTGGCAGGGCTCTTCCTTTTTTTCACGTGAGCTTTTCACAGATTAGCAAAAAAAATCCCCTTTCTGGTGGAAATAGCTTGATACTTTGGGATTGAAAAAAATCATTGGGGGACGGGCAGTGTGTTTGGGAACAGCAATGTCTGTCTCCAGGTGGGAACCACAGCCCAGACACCTCACCGCACCACCAAGGGTTTAGAACCCACACAATAACTGTGCTCAAACCTTGCCTTGTTTAAAAAGCATACAAACAAACAAGAAAACCCATAGATGCTGCGGGAAGAGGAAGAAGCACAAACCCCTCTGCATTACGTTGTCATGTATGAAATGACTGCAACAGCTTCCACTTGCAGCCGCTTGTCTAGGCAGTCCACCATTGAGCCTTGTGGGTTGAGGACAGGACTGTACCTGATCTCCTGTCTCGCCTGAGTGCCCTCCCGAGCCGCAAGATAACAGAGCAGAAGAAGCCACAAGAGCCCATCAGTGCAGCCTTTGGTGCTGTTTTGGCACCTTCTTCGGGTGGAAGGGGGGAGTGGAAAAGAGCTGAGGATGGCTGTTTTGCACTGGGGTATTCAACGACGCACCCACTGCCAGAATTTCTGAGCGGCAGAAATAACACAACACAGCCCTCAAATACAGTTTTGCTCTTATTTAATCTGTATTTCAAAAAATAGATTCTGAAAGCAAAAGAGTCTTTCAGAAAGCAAGGAAAAACATTGTGAAAGGCAAGAGGATCATTTCAGTGCATGTCGCTCCACCCTGCCACCAGTGCATCCTGAGGAGCATCCAACCACCTCCCCGACCTGGCAGCACCAAAAGGCACCTTTTCCCAGACCCGCCAGACTCAAAGGAGGACTCCCTCATTTCACACAGACTTGGGATCAGTTGTGCAAGGCCAACAGGAGGCTGGTTCGCTTGCCCAGTAGCTCCCAACTCTGTCAGCCACATATTTCACTTGTGCCAGCGCTGCTCATTAAGATACAATGCCACACCAGGTCATGTTTGAGGAACTCTACTAGCGAGCATGTTCCTCAGTCCCATTTTTTTTATGTGAGTGGTTGTTGCTTCCCCTTTATCCAGTTCCTTACACCGTTGATTCTGCTGGTACCAATATCCCCACCTTCATCAGCTGTACTAATGACTTCCCATGTGAGCTCATACTGAGAGCTTGCGTGAAACTCAGATTCATTTTCTTTCTTTTGCATGGAAAAGAAGTTGGAAACGTTAAAAAACATACCCTTGCATAAATTCTTGCATAATATCTTATATTAGTATAGCATCATTCCAAAGATGTGTCATGTGAGAAACTTCTAAAAAGCAAGAATGAAAACATCAAGAAAATCAAGGTGTTCTTTCAAGAACTTAATTCTTCAATTGTCTAAGATAACCACAACAAGTCTCTGTTTTTCTAGGTTAGGTTTTCCTTGACGTACATCAGCTGTTCAACCTCAGTGCAATTATTTTGTATTAGCATAAAATGATTTTGCGATGCAGCATTTGGCTAAGTTACCAATACAGTGGTCAACAAAGCACACCTACTTCTGCCTGCTGAGGCAGAGTCTGCACTCTCCGATCAGAGAAGCTCATTCTCAGGCACGTGTTTTCCATCCTGCTCTTCAGAAGTTGTTCTACAGGTTAATTCTTTCCCCTTGCACAAGCCGTGCTCGGAAGTTCCAAATATCCTTCAAAACAAAAATGAGACAAAGGAAAATCCTCAAGGGCCAGCAAAAACAGTGACCAGGATTCCACTTTACAGAGATGGAAATAGATACAGCATTCTCAGCTTAGCTACCTACCCATAAAAACATACCAAAACACTTACTGAATATCCTTTTGAACCCTAAATATCAAGAACTAAAATGCAGCCCTGACTAAGAAAGAGGTGCAACCTCCATCCCCAGGAGGTAGGTTGTTTGCAGGTGTGACACGGACTGCAAGATGCCCATGGTTCAGCTCTGGAAGGTGGCAGAAGAGGAAACGTGAGCAGCACGGAGAACACTACCCTTGCAGAAGTCACCCTTGCGTCCTTGTGCACACAGTGCCTCCCGTGTGCGCCTTTGTGTGATCAAAAAAGCTCACCGACTGACTACACCTTGCATACTGCTGCCCCTGAGCAAGGGATATTCCTCGAGCAGCAGAAACCAGCAGGAAATAAAGGAAAATCCACCTGCCATTAGGAGGGGAAACTGTAAGAACTGTGGACATACAAACTGTGGACGAGCACTGAGTTTATTGCATTTTCTTATACTTGCAAATTCAGGGCAAGAGATGACCATGTCTTCCTATTTACATCGTGCAGTCCAAATATAACTGCAAAGAGCTCTGGTTCAGACACACTCCCCACAACAAACCGTGAACCAGGAGATTTAGTGAAGGGCAAAGCTTGCATAGACTTCATCCCGTTCCTGTCTTGCCACGTTAGCCCTCCCCACTGCTACCCGGTGGGGCGAAGTCTGGACCCCCTCAAATGGTATAAGAAGTGCACGTGAGCAGCCTCAGAGCTGAGCCATCAAGACAGCAGAGTCTGTGGCTCCTCCTCACTCATGCTACAACATCGGCCGCATAATGAAGCGCTGATCTAATCTGCACCAGCTCAGCTGGCACTGGAAGGGATCAAGGCGTGCTCACAAAACCCATTTTGACAAGCCGAGCTGGAGGAGGAACTTCTACAGCTCAAGGGATGTGAAGGGGCCGCCTAGAGAGCAAGGCCACTTTCCAGCATAGCAAGAAGCAGCCTTATGAGCAAAAAGGTCCTCAAAAAGCCTGCTGGTCATCCTCTGAACATCAGGTCTTTTATTCTGCCAAGCACCTCTGCTTTGCACAGCTTGAGCTGCCAAACCGGGCACAGCAAAAAGGACAAATCTGTCACGTGAGGGAGGCTTAGGAAAGGGAACCGACCTGGATTGTAACAAAGGGCATATAGCCAAGTCTTACCCTGAGTTCCACGGAAGTCGCGTTGTATTTCTTGCGAACCATTTCCACAATTTCTTTCTCCAGGTGCTCTTGGTCTGTGTTCTTGACATCAATGTAGTAGCACTGTGAGCTGGCAAAGTGACAGCTTATACTCTGCGTGAGGAAATGGGGCATCACTCACTACCACATCGATTACAAATGACTGGTGGAAAAAAATCTCGTGTATCCCAGATCGTGGACACCCCACCCCTTCCTTACAGATCGTGTCAGCAAATTCCTTCCTCCTTTCCGAGCACTCCTGCTCTCCTGAGAGTGTCCCCCTGGAGAAATACTCTTGCTGGAGAAATACTCTTGCTTGCTGACATGCTCTTCTTCCTTCCCTCCTCTCCCAAACACTCCCCCAGCATGAACTGTACTACTTGATCTCGCAATATCAGCTTACTAGAGTGGGAATAGGGAAAGTCAGGGTTGGAGCAGAATGTGTGCTCAGTAAGGGTTCTTACTTTCTGCACCCAGACAGTCACATCAATGCACTTATTTTGTAATCAGTTCTTGCTTAAGCAGAGTCTAGAGGAAATAAATAGAAATGCCCCACCAGAAAAAGCTGTTCTCTCATTACACGAGCTATGCCAGCTGCAAGCGAGATCGTGCCAGATCTCAAAGGGTGCTGGACCATAACCTGGCTCAGAGAGCTCCAGGATACTCACCGATTTACCCCAAAGGCAGACAAATGTTGGGATTTGGCACAGTATGCGGAAGCTCTTGTGCTTCTGTGGGATACTAAACAGGACTATTGCTCCACTAGCCAGGAAAGAGCCAGCAGATGAGACTCTCAGTACCTGATGTCCTCCCTGCTTTCAGGATTGCAGGAGGAAGGAATTCCACACCAGTAAACTGCTACTGGGGCTGAAAGAACGGGCAATGTAGTAGTTGATGCAGGCAAAAGAAAATAAAAATAGAGCAGTCTGTGTTGCAATGCATGAGGGAAATATCTGCATTGCTGCTAGTGGCTACACTAGAGGCTACAGTTCCCTTACGTGCCTGGATGAATCCACTTCTGAGAAAGGATCAGGCCTCCAAAGAAGGGCTCTTTTGCCTGTTTCAGTTAAATAATCATGATGCAAAACAGATGATGCATAATCAAATCTTTAACAGAAAAATGGGTCATGTTATCATATAAGTAAATATTTATCGGATGATGGAGGCTCCTGCTATCCAGAGATGAGATACCAAGAAGGCAGGGGGAAGAAAGTTAAAGGAGCTCCTGATATTTGGGACAGCTGAAAGGGAACTATTGGAAAAGCAAGTACAGCCAGCCAGGCTTCAAACATAGATTCAACATCTAATTTCTACTCCTGTTCTGTTTTTCTCAGGCAGCCCCACAGCATGCTCTTCTCCCAAAAGACAGAGATGTTTAAAGATAAAAAATAAAAAAGAGAGTGTAAAAAATATATTAGGAAGCTAAAAACTCATTAAAAAGTTCATCCACATATTCATAAGCTTGGAAAGTGGGGGGGTAGTTTGATCAGTTTTAAAAAAACAAAAATGTCAAAAGCTCTGTCAAGAGATGATTTCCTACCTTTCGGAAACCTGATGTCTTGTTTATCCCAGAGCCATGAATGAGCAGGGGATGGAAGAACACCGTGTCTCCCTTCTCCATGACAAGGTGAACCCTGGGACTCTTCTCATCCTCATCAAGCAGCCCATGGAAAAGTTTGTTGGCTTTACCCTAGAAAAAAAGGCTGAGTTGAAATCATTCGGTTAAAATTAGAGGAGGTGCCAATTCTCAGTGCAAGGGACAGCAGGGACAGGTACTGATCTGCTTTCCTCTGGGCAGCATATTCGGTATGCCCAACTAAGAGCCTGCCCGCTTGCCTACAAGTCTTCCTACGTCAAGCCTGAGGTACAGCAAAATACTTTTTCTATTTTCTGAAGCTGAATTCAGACAATTAAGAACACTTCTCGGCGGGAGAGAACAGAGAAGAGCGCTGGGGAATCCCACAAGTGCGGCCCGATGCCACAGCTGGGGTCCAGCCTTCTGCTCCCAGTATAACCCTCACCAATGCCAGGCCAGGTCCGGAAACATCCATTCTTAAGAAGAAGATACTGCTTGATATTTAATTGCATCCAGTTGTTTACTATCCAATTTCTCCTCTTCAGGACAGTACACATCCTCACCAGGCAGGAACAAATTCACAGGAGGAGAAAGAGTCCTCAGACTTGGCAAGGGCAGTGGAAAACGGTTGTATGTGTTTATGCCGTTATGCCACGATGTGCTGGACAATTTCTAGGTGAAGGTGGGAATAGAGGCAAATCTACCCAGGTTACATGGAGTGAGGCCAACCAAGCAACTCTCTCCCAAAGCAACAAGTCAGTGTTTGCTGTGCTGGTTTTGGCTGGGATAGAGTTAGTTTTCTTCATAGTAGCTAGTATGGGGCTATGTTTTGGATTTGTGCTGGAAACA